ATATTTTGGGGAGACAACTTAAGAGAAATCCTTCTGTTCCTCACACCCCGGGGCAGTTCCACTCTGTCCTTTAGAGTCTTGATGAATTGGAATCAACTTGATGGCAGTGGGTTTGATCTTTATTCACCTGCGATGTGACTAGCCTTGCCCTCAAGCAGGTGCATCAGAAAGTGGATTACTACCCCTTCGGAGGCCAGTCCTGGGATGAGTAGCCTACCCCTTACAGACTTGCCTAGGTGGGCCCTTGAAGGAATTTGGGGTGCCAGGGTCACATGTCTTGAATCAGATGCTGACTGCTTTGGTCATAGGGCCCTGAGCCAATCTTGTAAGCGCTTCGGTCCAGCATAAGGTATGTGTCCCCATTGTAGTCCTGGTCTCCTCTCTGTAGTCCTGCCTGTAGCCATGATGTAATGATCTGCTGCCAACCGTACTTCGGTGAGTTTTCCAGAAAGCCAGTTTCCCAGAATGCCTTGGACGAGTCATTATGACCTCCTACTGATGGTCTCCCTCTTCTGGATGCTTGTCTTTGTCCTGTGTAAGACTGAATAAATGTGCCTTTAGCAATTATGTTTGAGATTCAGGGTCTCTTTTGCCCCCTGCAACAAGCCATAGCATTTAGGAGCCACTTGACACCCCCAAATGAATACAGTCGAGCCCCACTCTGCACGAGCACATGTCGAAGATACTGTCCCCACTACCAGCACCTGGTTTATCGGGACCACCCCAATCGCTCCTCACTGGGCTCCGCTGCCTCCTACCTCAAGGCCCCTCGGACTTCTCCTCCACAGGGGACCCAGAGCCAAATGGAAGACCCATTTATCCAACAATATTCATGAGCATCAGATCCCGGCTGCCTCCTGTGCTGCCTGGCCCTGTACTTGGGGCTCCAGGAGGCATTTGTAACAAGGCCAGAACGTGCGACGGTGGAGTGGCTGGCATCCCCGAGCTGGCTTGGGTTCAGTGTAGCGAGTAAGAAGAGTCTTCGTCATTCCAGGGCCTCTTGGGGATGCTGGGAGGGACATGTTGGCAGTGGCAGGGGCTGAGACAGGGCAGCAGCTTTGTTCTGAAGGCCGCAGTGGCAGGATGCCCAGGGCAGACCCAGCTTCCTCCAAGGCAGGACAGCAGGGCGGGAAGCTGGGGGCCTCCACCCTCCTGCGCTCTGTGCCTTGAAAGCCAGGGCTGGAGAGGGCCAGCACGCAAGCCTTCGCAGGAAGCAGTAGGAGGCACTCGGAGCAAAGTCCACTTGCAGGGTCGAGACCCTGCTACGTTTCGGGCTCTACTGCTAAGCATTCTCCACGCCGTCGCCCCTGCCGCTTCCCGGAACCACGTGGGCTGGGTCCTGTGGGGGGGGGGGGGGGGCAGGGGTAGGTCTTGCCCAAAGTCAGATCCTTGAGCTGGAATTTGAACCCAGATCTGACTTCAGAGCCCTGTTCTCGACTCCCATTCTCTTCTGCCCGCTCTGGGGCCTGTCAGGCAGCCCTCACAGAGCCCAGGGCAGGGGAGAAGAGGCCCGCTCTGGGAGCAAGCAGCAGTGAGGAGCAGGCTCCGCTGCGGGCAGCAGCAGAGCTCCCCGAGAAGGTGGCATCTACTACCCTGAGGGGCAGCTTCTCAACAGAGTCTGGATGTAAAGGGGATCCTCCCTGCTTGAAACCCACCAGTCTTTCCCACTGGTTACTCCTGGGACCCTCATTCCCAGGGTCACGGTCAGGTCCGGAGAGGCTCACTGAGGACACTGGGAGTAAGGGGAGGGGCCCAGGACCCACGCCCAGACCCTGCCTCCCAGTGCAGTGCTCCCGTGTTCACTCCTGGGAGGACCTTAACTGTGACCTTGGGGAATCACCTCATTGGCCTCAGATCCGGCGCAGCTCCAAGTCCCCCTGCCCACCCATCCCAGCCGCACGGGGCAGGCTCGTTCATGACCATCTGTAATTCCCGAGTCCCCAGAGCAGAGGTGGAAGTCGTGAAGAGCTGCTCCTGAGCTGTGGTGACAGGGACCCTTGAATGGGAAAGGGTCCTGAGTCACCAAGCAGGCGCTGGCCAAACCTCAGGGTGGAGGCTGGAGGTGTCCAGGCTACCCAGGGACTGGGCTAGGCCAGCGGCATTTCTGAGTCACAGGGAGGGTGGGTGGTGGGTGACTCAACCCGGTCCAGACTGGCAGAGGCGAGAGCCACGAGCCCTTTCGCCTGTCCTCCCAGGGTGGGTGACTCCAAGGTCCCTCGGTCCTGCCCCCAGCCTTGGGCTGCTGACCCTTCCTGCAGCCCTGCCTAGCATTGGCTGGCCAAGCAGTCGGCAGGGATTCAATCACCTGGAGGAAGAAAGGAGCCTTGCTAAAACCCAGGCCTAGATCCCCATGCTGGCCTGCTCCAGCCTCCCGGGCTCCCCCAGCAAGGAGAGACCGTTCTTTCTTCCAGATGAGCCTGGAGCTAGAGAAAAGGCAAAATAACTAGTCCAAGATAGGGACACCTCACCTCCCACCCTCCCCAAAGGGATGACCAGCCCCATTTCACTGAGGCACAAAGCCAGCTAGTGAGGCTGCCAGGGCAGGGCAGGCCCCAGGGCTTCTTGCTATAGGCTGAGTCTTTGTGGCTGTCTTAGCCAGCGGCCTCTGGAGCCTGGAGGGAGAGTGGAGAGGGCTGAGGAAAGATGGAGAGGCAAGGTGGCAAAGCTCATTTGGCCAGTCTGTGTGGGAGGAGCCACACACTGTGGAGGCTGCGCCTCCTGCCCGGGGTGTCGAACTGGGAGCCTGGAAGGCCTTGGGCCAGTCCTGCAAGGCCCACACTTTTGCTATGGCAATGGGTGTCCCTGAACAGGCCTGGCCAGGGAGGTTAGAAAGAACAGGGGTGCAGGTGGAGTCGTGGGCAAGGGAGGACACCCTAGTTGCCACGTGGGTGGGTGGAACCATTGTTTTCCCTCCTCCCTTGGCTGGACCCCAAAGATGACACAGGTGTACAAGCAAAAATAGTTTATTTGAGGATGGAAGCCCCAAAATTGGGGGGCCCAGGATAAGGCCAAAGCAGCTGCCCAGAGTTGGCACAGACTAGCCCAACTCCCTGCAGGGAGCCCAGCAGTAAAGAAGCCCTTCCCAGGCCCACCTCCCCTGGCTCCCCCTGCCCCCACCAGGGGGGATTGTGCCACCCCCAAGTCATCCTCATGGTAACACGGTAAGGTTTTCCAAGTTGGCCACCCGTTTTGCTCAGAGTAGCTGATGCCCACCATCATGAAGACGGCCAAGCACCCTCGCTGTGCCACATCGTCCAGTGGTGGGTGGGTCTGGGATGGGGCGAGCCTCTCTGGGAGTCCCCTTCCAGGGGTCCCTCGCCCTCCCTCGGCCCCAGTGGTTGGAGCTGCCTGCCCTCCACTTCTCCCGTGGCCACTGGCTGAAGTCAGATCCAGGCTGGTGCTATGACACATGGCCCAGAAGCTCCTCCACATCTCAAAGGCCTTTGCCAGGCTGGTCCCTCCGCCACAGCCCCCTGCGGGCAGCCCAGGAGGCCACACACTCACAGTGGTGGTAAAGGAACATTCCAGAAAGGGTGAGTGCAATGCCCATGTAGCTGGGGGCGCTGAGGTGGCTGCCAAACAGGAGCCGGGACAGGACGAGGTTGCCCACCACGGTGAGGTTGCCCAGGACGTGGACAGTGAGGGCAGAGGTGAGGGCCAGCAGGGAGAAGCTGGCCAGGTTGTAGAGCACAGACAGGAAGCAGCTGAGCAGGACGCAGGCCCAGAGTCGGGAGTCGGTGGGAGCGGGTGGTGTGGCCATGCCAGCCTCCAGCACCAGGGCCGCCCCTGCCAGCACACAGAAGCTGGGCAGTGAGGTGGCGTACAACAGGGTCACCGCGTCCAGCTTCTCCTCCTGCAGCAGGCCACCTATAACCAGGACAGCGGCCATCAGCACACAGCAGGTAGGTAAACCCCAACGCGGCCGACAGGGGCACCCAGCACGGCCTCACCTCCCAGGCTCACTGGCACTTTGTGAAAGTCCCCTGCCCGCCATTCTGCGCTACCAAACACTGGCCCTCAGACCCCTGGGGTAGTGCCCTGTGTCCACTCTGTACAAACCTTGACTGGGCTCGTGTGAAGCCCTTAGCCTCTCTGAGCCTCAGTTTCCTCACTTGCTTGGAGAGTTAGGTAATAATAAAACCTGACACAACCTTGGCATGAGAAATACGGGGCTTCCTACTCCCATAGAGAGTCACAGGCTTGGAAACGCACAAGTCCTGTTCTACACTATTGGGGCCTATCCTATAGAGTCTCCCCTATAGGGCTTTCCACTCCTGTAAAGAGTTAGGGTTTCAGAAACCCGTCACTGCAGTTCTGCCCCATCGGTCTGCCCCATCGGGTCTCTGAGGTTGCTGTGCACCGGCCTGGGCTCACAGGGAAGAGAGAGAATAGCCCTCGAGGGACCGTGAGCGTGTGGCAGAGGAGGAGGACCTGCTCAGAGAAGGGGAGGCTGGGCGCCAGCCCGAGGAGTGCCATCATGGCACTGACTGGCACTACGGAGGGCGAGTAGGATTGATGAGTGTTTAAACAAAAGCTCACTGCCATCCAGTCAGTGCCAACTCACAGTGACCCCGTAGGACAGGGCAGAGCTGCCCCAGTGAGTTTCCAAGACTGTAACTCTATTTCTTCCTCTTTTTTTCCTTTTAAAATAATTTTTAATGGGGTCTCATACAGCTCTTATCACAATCCATCCATC